TGCTGATCTTGCCACCGTAAAGTTGTTGGACTCTGAAGCCCTCTTTACTTTGTTTTGATATGAACGCTCCCTGATCCAAAGTAATAGAGACTGAATCATTAATAAGGAATGGAAGCCAATATACCTGGTGTGTTCGAGGCTCACGTACTTAAAGCCATCGGGATACCGCATTGCCTCTATTCATCATTACAATCCACGTGGATGAAGACGAAAACTAGGTACCAGGTGATTTGAACACGGAGTGTGGTGATAGTTGTTTACCGATCTCATTTAACAGTTATTTAATGCTCTCTTCCAGGGTGCGTCTGCTGTAAGCGACTTTCCTACCACATTGGGTAGATCCTCCGTTTTCGACCTTGCTAAGAGCCCCTATTTTTCCAAACTTTAGAGACGCCAAATGGGGTCAACCGCCCTGGACTGATCATCTCTCTGGCTCCCTAACCGAGAGCAAGTATGCTAATCTTCCTTTACACCCTCCTCCACCTCCTCTGCCTTCCGTTGGTATGGACCAAGTCATCTCTGGTGATCTTGTCCTCTCAATTTCTGGGGTGCATCTGGACTCCACACCTCAGGATCCCTTTATCGCAGCCTCTTTCTTAGATAACTCCATTTGGCTGGAACTACTCTGGTACGCTAACCAGTCGATTGCTGCACTAGTCTGCTGTGGCGCCATCTACGACACTCTCGCTCTATTTACCACTCCCACTGCCACCCATCGAGTTGTTGAGTCCTCTGACACAGCTCTTAGTGGTTCGGGAGTGGGGAACCATTTCCACCAAATCTCAAATAATACCTCCGTTACAGCTTGTACTGGAGTCGCTACTTCTACCCCCTCATCCAATGCCACCTCATCCACTACTATGTTAGCCAGTGGAGTGATGGCAGAGGAGGAATGCGGTCCGCTAACCCTTTCTACCATCGCCACCAATTCCCTTGTCTCAACCCCTGCACAGGCTCTGAACTCTGTTTCTCTCACCACACCGATAGGACCGGGGTTTTCATCTTCAGAGGGGCAACCGGCACCGGGATACATATTTCATTGGTTGAAGGGACTGTTGTTGTGTCAAGACGGAAAGCTTAGCATTTCGCCGTGGTTGTGGGGACTGCCGGTGGTGAATTTCGGGGTCTGTTCAACAGCCCTCAAAGGTCCTCACGCCAAAACTGGTGCGCGGAATATTCGGCTGGAGGATAGTTTAAGGTCCATTGTAATTGCTGCCGCTGCTGGACGTCGACTGGACTCGGTGAGGAACGTAATTTAGAATAGACTACGGATTATCAAGTTACAAATAAGTACTTGATTGTAGTCAAATATTGCTAAGTCTCGTCTCATATTCTACGTGGCTGTCTTATGAGACGATATCGAATCAAATTTCCAGAGTCAGTTTTGTTATAAGGCATAAGTTGGCATGAGCTCAGCACTCTTTTATGACCTCTACTTTGAAATACATTTAAAAAATTGTTTTGATAAAGTGCGCTTTCTCGTTCGATTAGTAGCTCAAAGTCATAGTGAAATTCGATGAATAGCATGTCTAGTTTACAAATCTCAAAATGAAGGATTATATACCTTCGAAAATCAAAAGAAGTGCCGATTACATCTTATGACTGATTGTCATCTTTCAGCTCTTCCGTCAACTGGGGGAGGAGACTTTAACTCTCCTTCTGGACATGAACTGTGACCTTCCAGGCCTATTGGAGATCCTCGTCGATCAGTGCTACACCGGTTCTTTGAATGTCATTCAGGCCTTTTTCGTTATCATCACACAACATTTCATTAAAAAGTGGATCTCTTATTTTTTTGAGCCAGCTTTTCGAACCTTAGTTTTCAGCAAAACTTAATCTTATACTTTTAGCCCCAAAACGCATTGTGACAAGTTTACCATGCTTACACTGGCCATGGTGTTCTGTGAACACACCGTCCCTGTGATTCGAGAAAATGCCATGTTCCTGCTGCAAACTCTCTACTATCGCTTCATTCTTCTGGTATGTGCCTTACTGTCCTCATACCCCAATCACTTTCAGCCTGTTCGGGAGCTCCACCAGCGCATGCACCCGGAATGTCCAAAGATGGTTACGTCAACTCCGGTGACGAGTATCTCTGGTGAGCTAAACGATAGCCATACGGGAATGTGTTTATCTGCTCTAGCAGATGAACTGCTCTGGCGTGAGATTGGTCACTGGAAGCCCTGTGATGTACTTAGGCAATTCTGCGCTCAACATCCCACCTACACACTTCCAATGGTATCTGGTAAGTACTCCACAGAACGTAACGTGCCAACTTTTCCTATCCAAATTCACTATTCGGTTTTTTAAAGAAATCTGTCGAAGGTTAGCAACAGCTTCCAGTGAGGTGCGATGTCGACTGATCAATCTATTGCACTATTGGACCATCAACATTGAATTGGTCGATTTATTTACCCAAGGCTCTAGTAGTAAAAACAACACTCCATGTGGAGATGGTTTCATAGAGAACTACTCGGGTTGTCCTGAGGATGCTTCCACAGTCGCGACTCTGGAACCCATATCTCCATCAGGAAGGACGGATGCGGTGACCACTTCGGAACCGAGTTCAGGCTCAGACGTAGAGATCGAGGGAGAAAGTGTTAACAAGCAAAACTCCTCCATCTCTTCGAACTCATCTGTATCCTCGTCTCCAGCTTCTTCGATTTCCTCCTCAGATTCTTCTTCCTCTTGCACCTCTAATTCAACATCAATTTCTACAGACTCTTCCAATATTGATTTGGGTGAATGCGGTTCTGGTGCACAGGTGACGTCAAACTTAATGGAGTTGAGAAAATCCCGACGCGATCACAAGCCCAATCACCGACTTCATCGAAATCATGAAGAAACTCGTTTGCGCAATCAGCGACGCATTTTGGAGCATTCGCTTAAACCCGTACTTGATGGAGAGGGCCAGAAATCAAGTGAGTTGTGGGCCAGTGTTCCACTTACGTTGAGAAGATCTGGATATGGATGTCTAAAGGTAATCTTTCTTTCACCTTTCTTTACTACTTCAGAGATCAGAGGTCATAAATTTGTCTTACTTTGGCGTTGTAGGCAACTGAGATGGTGCTGAACAACTTTTTCTACCTCACCATCCGCTTTGCAAATGAGCCTAATGAAGCGTCGGTTTTGGGGGATCTTTGGGTCCTTCTCATACGTTACCGACCGGCGAATTTGCAATTCATTCTGCGTTACCTCATTGTTGTCGCTTCGCTGGCTCCAGCTACCCTCTGCTCGCATGTAAGTTGAAAACTATCCGGAACTAGATGCTGCGTTCGGTCAATCCATCGGTTATACATCTTTCCCTTTCACCATGAAGAAAGTTATTCCACCTAGAATATCGAGCTTACGAACGAAACGAAAGGTACTAGCTCAACCGCTAACCAGGTACCACCATTCACATTTAATTTTTTTTCATGAGAATTTCATCAACTCACTGCGAACTGCATCTCTATCGTCACCGTCCGGTTTTGGGCTTATTTTTACAATTGTGAATGGTGGCTTTTAGTATAGTTGTGTTTAATTCATTGATTTAATGAACTATTTTAAATGTTGCTTAATTTCATCACTGCTTATTTATTGGACCAGTGTTAACAGGATTAGGTACCTTTTGTGGTGATGGGTTGGGGATTTCACGACCAAATTCATCATCTGCAGTGCATACGTGCTCTTCGTCTTCAACCTACTAGTGTTGTACAAACATCTCTTCATCGTGCTGTATTTATTGGAATCCTGGGGATTCGGCATCCGTAGGTTCATAATTTACGCCTTTGTCGTATGGAATGGTTCACAACATGTGTGTTGGGTTTTTCGAATAGTATCAGGGCAGATTTGTCTGTCATGGCTGCGAGCGTGCACATACTTGTAATGCCATGAGCTCCATGACTTGAACAGTTAATGCATTCATTCTACGCGTGGCAGACGCTCTATAAATTTAGCCTATAAGTTCTGAAAATTTTCAAATAGTACTTCTCATGACTCCCTCAAATTAATCTCTAAACGTTTTCGGTACATTTGAATCTGAATGTGTCGTCAGTCGGATGATGCTTAATTTTTCAGGCAACGTGTTCACCCATTCTCCTGGTCTGCGTTGATGAAATAATAATGATTCGAGAGTTGATTCAATTGGTTCCTTGTGCCCTTTCTCATTTCCTTGTTATTAAATTCGTTCGACCACTTATTACTGTTTTGTCAAATCCAAGTGGTTATTTTCGATGATGTCCAACACTACTTCAAAATCAAAACCACTATTGTGCAGTGTTTAACATAGACTAGATTTAGTAACTGGACGCCGTTTTTAGGTGAATCGCGTGGTTTCTTTCCTTACAAACGAGGATCCTTCCAGTGTAGTGGATGTTCTTATGACCGAACTGCAGACGATTGACGGTGCAGGCCTTATGATCGAACCCTTGCCATTCCCACCCTTCTTCCACATTGCTTTCCTCTCTGATCTCATCGAGCACAGTTTTACTGCCCCAACGGGTGTTACAAACGCTGCCACTACAACTACCGGGAGCGCACTGACGGTGACCGCGACGGAGGACAGGCAGCGCCGGAATGTCATCCCAGAGACTATCACCTTCAGTCAGAGGAGCAGTGTGATGACTGTTGATCCAGAGTGAGTTGATTAACTCGATCTTTGGCCACTTTGTTACCTCAAGTCGGTTCGTGGTAAGTACCATCTTTTCCGTATGGCGCGTTTATCGTAGCCTAACGTCTGTGATCCAGAAGTGGAAGCAGCTACTGAAATTTTAAATAACTTGTACTTGGTGTCTGAGGTAAACATCTGAATTTTTGGTTTTACCTCTGTATATGTTCTTCTGGTGTCCGTGTTGTGCTGCTTCTAACAGCTTATCCAAGGAGGGTTTTATAATAGTTCAGCTTATTCAGGAAATTCTCTTCTCACTCTGAAATCCGTAAGGTATCAATTCTATTTAAATTAGTTGTTAGTGATTATTCATATGTATCTTTTCTAAGTTTCATTTAATTCGTAAGATCCTTAAATCAGACTGGGTGACTCATCTCCGATTCACCTTCGTCTTGACTCGTGATAAAATGAATATTCAAGGTTCAGGCATTAATACGTTACATTTGATTTGACCTTCACAGTTGCCAGTCCGTAAGTGCCCGGCCAGTGTCTTCTTGCAGTGGTGGATGGCAGTTGAACGGAGGCGATGATGAAACCGCCATTGTCTCACTAAAGTCTACTGTTGAAGCCTCTCCACTTGCTAATACCACTTCCGCCATCTCTCGTCTCACCAACCGCTTCGCAAGCAGCGCAACTGCAATGGGTCGTCGAGCTCTCCGAACCGCTCTCCATCCCGGTGGGGGTCGACAGTCCAAAACTTCCGTCACCCTTGACCAGGGACAACCCCAAGAACTTGACATTGACTCTCTCGATGGGGAAGTGGAGGAAGAATGCAGAGGGGCCCGAACGACTGCTGACACCATGCCGACTCCACAGAATCAAAATACCACCACCGCTGAAGCCCTCATCACAGCAAAGAGTCAAACGCTTCCCTATACAGCCGCCTCTCGTGAGAGATACAACAAACAGGCCATTGTCAGCATGGATGGGACTCCATTGAGCCGCCCAAGCCGTCTTCGAAAGATTCTCTCTCGTCGCCGTGCGGCTGCGGGCGAAAAAGGTGGTAGTGGTGGTGGACGTCGAAATCCCTTCCGATCGATGTTCCGTGGTAGTGGTGGCGGAGGCGGAGGCGGGGGAAGTGGTGGCCGCGGTGACGCTGCGAAAATTTCCGAAATCGTGGCCAAAGTTTCCGATAGTGCCCGCCTCTACACCACCTCTCTACCGCCAAATCTAGCGTCGTTGCAGCCTCTCCCACTGCCTCTCCACTCACACTCAATCTCCCATATCAACGACTATCGGAGAAAACGAAAAGGCGGTCGACACAGATGCTCCTCACCGCGTAATCTACGTCGTCACCACGGAAACGCTCATGGTGATGGTGATGTGAATCAACGAGCAAAGGTTCCTCTCTCAGACACAAGTCTGCTTTTGCAACAGCCCCTGCCGATGCCAAAGGAAGACAATGTTTACCACGCTCCTTTGCGGGATTGGTTTACGGAGCCCTTTGTAACCAATGGGTCCCTTGTCTTTAGCGGAATGTGGTCTCCTACAGGAGCAAGGTCGCCGTTAGTTCTTGTCCTAGTTGGAGAGATATTAAAATCGCATAATAAGCATCGAGTGGCGTGGCGTAAGCACATGCCCCTCCTTCTGCTCTGTCTGTTTCTTGGTAAGTCAAATCACTCGCAATATTTGTAATAGGAATTGCATAGTTTAGGTTTATTTGTTTATAAATTAAAAGCTTTTCCATGTCTGAGCGAAAGACGTTTTCCTCCAGTCGAGATTCCGGGCATGTAAACTAAATGTCGTAATGTATTGAGCGTTTCAAAGCTTTGTTTATTCCAATACTAATGAAGAATGAAATGATCCAACCCAATTTCTGGCTTTTTTGAGTTACTCCTTCATGCTGTTGTTAATCACTCGAGCCTTTGAATATATTTATTGGAAGCAAATCACTTTGATTAGATTTGTTTGTTTCCTTCGCAACTGATAAACTGAATGTCAAATATTTCCGGACCTTCTGCGAGAGGTCTGCGCCGCATGAATGACCGTTTGGAGGAGAAGTGCACTTCTCTGTATCCTCGAAACTTTAGTATTTTGCAATTTTCCGCTGATTTCATGCGTAAAAATGCTCCGGCATCTTGGTTATTCGTAGATCAAAAATCCAAACTTTTGCCAACTGTGAAGTAATTCATCTGCAATGTTACTTTTCTTACCCTTTCTGGTACGAGGACTCACTGATTTACCTATTGACAGTAGAGGTTTCCGTTCTGTGGATAGCTCATGTATAAGACACCTAGTAGGGTAGGCGTGCTTTGAATTAGCGATAAGAGTGGGTAGGCATGTCCTGCCGGACCGACGCTAGTAATGGTAGCCTCGTTAGCCCCGAAGGAGCAAAGTTTAGTAGATTTATTTTTAGTATATAGAGGGATCTGAAGGCCAGTATCATCACTGGTTGGTTTATAAGAATCTAGATAAAACAAATTCATGTTTTAATTGTAACAAGTACCACTGTTCTTCAAGCTTATGAGGAAAATGGTTCGGTCATGTCCATTGAAACCGATGAAATTGAGTATGAAGAGAAGGTGTAGATGTGATTGACTGAAACCAAACTTAACACCTCGTTTCACGGCAGGCTTAGACCACTGTCGACCCTTGGTACAGGAGGAGAGCAAGCAGCTGCTAGTAAACATGTTGCGGGTTATATGTCCTCGTATCGACCTTCTGCGTCTCCTCTCCCTCCAGCTGGAAATTGACTCTCAGTGGATTTCTCACGCCATGCATAACTTTTCATTGCGCGGTCAGCAGTTCTGTCTCACTCTCGATGATGGTCCATCTGTGGTGAGTGACATAAATAGGGCTTGGGTCTTTCGTAGCAATTGTTGTAGTAGCTATTGTTTTGAAGAATGGTGGTTTGTTTCCTATGGAAAAATGTTCTTATTTCTGGAGTGTCATCTTCTTACGTCAATCAATCCTACTAGGACTTTCCATCTCAGAAAGCTTAATTCATCTATGAATGATTTTCGATGATATTGCTAAGGAAATGTAAATCCACAAGTTATAGTCCTCCTATACTTCTGTCATTGTTTGATACGGTAGCTTATTGAATAATCTGTAGATCAGTCATAGCAGCTCAGAATGGGTTGAAACTATCTGCCAGGTAGTGATCAGTCCGTAACTACTTAATTGAACTATCCAAACTGTTAAATACTCAATGCTCCTACTTCATATTGTAATGACGTTCTAAGTTTGATCCCCGAGGCCATTGACTCTTTAATACTCTATTGGATTTTATGATTCGTCCTTTTCCATATTAATCCTTACTTCTTTGACGTTCAAAAGAGATTAAAGAATGCTGTTAATGACTGTGAGAACAAACCTCGTTAGGCTTTCATTCTCCAGTACTTGCATCCCTCTGTGGGATTCTTTTATTTTCTTGGAAATGGACGAGGAAGAGAGTGAAAATGGAAATCAGCATAGCCCTCTTTATTTCTGTCTTTTCAATTCAAGCCAAAGTTCTACTTGCCAGCACCCACGGATGCTCCACTCACCGAGGTTTCAAATTGTCCCATCTGGTCGACTTATTGCGTACCCAACTCCTCCTCCATTGGTGCTCTAGCTGTAACCGGAACACCTGCAGCTCCATCTGGTTTTGGTACCTCTGCTACCCCACCGACTGGTCTTTCGCCCCTCACCGATGCTCCACCTCTTATTGCCACAACCTCTACCACTAGCGGTGGTGGGGGAATTTTGTCACGCTCCTCACTAGTTGCCCACCAGCCTACCGCATCGCGACCAAGTTACGTTTTTGGCTCCACCTACAGCCTCATGAGCACTGCCACCCTTATCCCTGCGGGTTTGTCGATGGAGCAGGAATCAAAGCGGCGCTCAGTCGTGCTTAATGACTTGCCCCCTCCGCCGTCTTCGTCCCAGCCTCCAACCTCATCGGCTCATACTGTAGGGGAGGCAGGGGATAAATCGGCTGCGATGTCGATGGATGAGATGGCTGTGGTCACGGCTCCGTTTGACTGTGAAGCAAAACACTTACATCTGGCGGCTGAAAGGATTGGCCAGTTACTTGAAGAAGTGTGAGCATATATATGTCGTTGTGAAACAACAAAAATCAGATCGGTTTATCAATGTTGGAGTGAATGGTGGTTACGCTTAGTGTTGCGGAGGTGACCTCTTCAGAAATCTTAACTCATTTTATATCTAGTGTTCTGTTCAGGTTTGTAGTGCGAACTTCTAGTGGCTGCTAGTAGCTCTGTAAGGCAGAACTACGGTACAGCATTATCAGGGTCACTTTCCTTCTTTCACTCAGTCAAGATCGCTCTATCTGGACGTGGGAGGATATCACACCGAACCGATTTCAGCAGGCCACACTTGTAACTCTTCGCTCCATCCTTCCTCCCCATCCCTCAACGTCGCCACAACTACGTAAATCATTCCTCCTCCTTCGCTCAGCCTGTTTCCTTGATCGTTTTGTTCGCTGCGTGGCAGAGGCTTTTGCTGAAGCAGAGGCCGGCTGTCGGTGCGAAGAGGCTGCCTCGTGTCTGTGCTGCCACCACGGGGATCCTCACCGTCACCCCAACGATGGGGGAGTTGACGAAACGAACACAGAAAATCTTGGTGGTGGGGGTCCGAGTTCTGATGGTTCTGCGTTTTTCCTCTTCCTTCGCTCCGGGTGTACAATCACACGGTTCGCTCAGGCTGCTTTTAACATGGGTATCACGTGTCCCAATCGTCACTATGCGAGTCGATCCTTGCAAATTTATCGCGCATTGGATGCACAGTTAGATGAGAAGAGCCTCTCAGAGGTGTTGGTACGGCTAGCTGAATCGATATCAGATACCAGTGAGGAATTGCAGGTAAGGTAATGTGTGTTTTATTTCCCGGTTTTCGTCTGAGCTACATTACACATGTTCTCTTTCTTTGAAAGAGCTACATGGTTGAGTTATTCCTCACCTTGGAGGCAGCAGTGGGGCACATTCAATGCCGAGGGACGGTGCTTTCACCTTTCATCATTAGTAATGGTCAGTTTGCTGCTCGTAGTCGATCTTCTGCACCTAACTCTCCCCTTGTCACCTCAAAGCCACCGCAACCACCTCAGTCTGCATCACCACTCTTATTAACACCACAAGCACCGCCACCAACGCCTCCAGTGCATGAGCGTCGTCACTCGCGTCGAGGCTCCTCCTCCTCCCTCTCCAGTCTCCTCGGTTATCCCGCTTCTATTGTTGGCACTGCTGTGGTTCCAACTCCATCGTTGGTCCCGATTCAGCAAAACACTGGTCTAACCGTACCGCCTATCAAGAGACCGCTTATGCCGCCGCATGCTGAAGCGGTGAGTGAGGAGACAGATGTGGCCCTTGCATCAGCACCATCGACATCAGCGTTGGGTCCCGTGAAACCAACTCCGATGCCTCCTTTCCCTTCGAATGCATATAGGTCCTCTAACAACACTGGAGTGGTGCCAGTAGCAACAAATGATGCAAGGTGGGATTAATGTTATTTCAATGACTTGGGTGGAGTTGTAGTGTTTACTTCCAAGGTCTTTGAACGCCTTCAATTTCCGCTTGTCACTCGCATTTGCAAACGATCGCCATAATTTTTTGACCGGCAAAGCTGCTTCTCTCACAACAGAATAAGGGCTTTTAGCTTTGTACATCGGTCGTTTGAAACATTTAAATGCAGTGGTAGATGCAATATTACCCATTTATGAAACTTGGATCAAGTTCAATAAAGGACCTAATTTGCATTCCACTAACTGATAAGTCAATCGGTTAATATAGGCTTCAGGGAAACCTACTTTTACATTCATGAAGCACCGTTATGGATCAAATTTGGTTTTCGAGAGTTTGGGTGTCTACTTATTTATGAAACCATTGAAAATTGACATCGTTTCATCCTGCGATCGATACTCATGGCAGTTTTTAACAGGAGAGATGGACTGCATTTCTGGGCGCTTTGGAATTTCTGATTTTCACGTTCTAGTTTGTGTTTGAGCAAAGGCATTTTAATTGATCGTTTTGGAGTCATCCCCGTGGCTCATAGCTGTTGCCAAGTAAAAATGTGTGCACCTTTGATAGGCAAGGAGTTTTCTCTCAACTTTTGCAACCCTTTGCAAAATGGAATTAAGACAGCCTTTACCAAGCAAGATTATAACATTTAAAATGCAATTGTTTTGCTAACTAGGAAACCCTCCAATGTTCTACCATTTACTTATGTTTTATTTGTTGGCAGTTACGGGTGTTACGGATCAAGCGTAGGCTAGGAACGTTTTGAACTGGCAGAAATGAATGAAACTAAGGAATGAAATAAGATTTCTTCGACCCCATTCAAGTAAACGCAATGCTCGAAGGCGTTCTTTTTAACACGAAACTTGAATACGGCTGAAAAACTCAAACTCGACTTTTAATGGATCTCAGTCATCGACTTGGCATCTTTTGTAAACCTCTTCTTCCTCGCCCAAAATCCTAAGCATCCCTCAAAACTATCCAGTTCTATTTGATTTGTTTGTCGAAATGATGTTATAACAACGGTAGATTATCAAATGTTGTCTGTGAGTGTTCACTGTCAAATATTCGCGATCTCATCTAGGAGGCCCTTGAAACTAGGTTTTTGTGGCCTCCGCTTTCCCTGTTCATGCAATCCCTCGGAGCATGTCATACCTCTGGAACAACTCTTGTTTGTCTTTAACTGCCCTGAAGATAGAAGGCAGTGTTGCCATCTGTCAAGTGTATTCTATGCAACGTTGACCAGTTGGACAAAAGCAGAAAGAGCACTAAAATAATTTGAACAGGACCCAAAGAGAACTGTTCATGTTCTAAATGTAGAATCTCTCATAACTTAAGATAGGAACACTCACTTGCAAGTAGATTGCGGTGAATGCTTTGATCTGGGTGTTTTGTAGTCTTCGACATCAAGTGTTCAACTGTCTCATAGGGTCTCTCAAGGCGACAGTTTCGATGGGTACATTCCCTTCTCCTTTTCAATTTGTTGGAGGGGAGACTTTATTCACATGCCTCATCCACAGCTTAAAAAAGGTCGAATTAGACCTTTAGTTCAAGCCGCTCTTCTTACCTTTGCGATACCGTTTCGTGTAAATTTCGCAGCTGCATTTCGG